TGAATAGGAATTTATGTGGCAGTTTGCGCACTTAGATTTTCATGCCGAGTCTGTAATGTGCTCTTAAAGCATCCTTGAGAATGATGGCACTTGTGTGGGCTTTTTTTAAAGCACATTAAGATCTGCAGATGACTTGTAGGTAGCTGTCACTTCCACCTACGTTTTAAACCACAGCTTAAATTGTTGTTGGCTGTTCTCCCTTTTCCTTTAGGGCCCAACTCTGATAAAGATGGGATGCATCATACAGTTACTAAACACAGGGGAATAATTACATTGTACAGACATCAGAAAGCTGCTTTTGCCATCACAAGTCGTCGAGGTCCTACTCCAAAAGCTCCAAAAGCCCCAATTGTGGATCTCCCCACTGGCAGTAGTGGAAGCATTCCTACAGAACTTGATGAGGTAAATTTCAAAAACTTAGATTTGCAACTTGTACATCCACCCCTTCTGTTACTTTGAATTCACTAGTGTCGATAGCACTACAGGGATGTCCAAGATCTTTTCATAAGAGAACTGAGTTGATGTAAAAACTTGTGACACAAGCAGCATGTGCTCATTGATGAGGATGATGTTTTAAATCTTCAGAGTGTCATTAAGAAAATAGCTCATGAAATATTTTACATCTAGTACAGAACATGAATATCTCAATATAAATCCGTGCAGATAGATTTCCACAGATTTGTGCTGTGGTTGTGTCCTGTTACCCATGTTAGTGTTGGTCATCTGGATGAACAATGGATACTCTGAAGCACTAAAAATGGTATTTGAAATATGACTGGCTTTAGAATGTACATGTGACTTTCACACTTGATATGCTAAATTTGTGTTGTTACTGTTTTATTCATGTAAAATTTCAGCGTGTTTTAATAAGATCAGAGTCAGGACTGTGATTCCTAAACAGTATTGTGGATTTGGTTCTTGTTAGTGATTTTTGCCAGTTCCACTTTCTGAAGAGGGTGGGAGCAAGAGAAAGGGCTTAATAACAAATCGGATATTGCTTTCGAGAAATTTTGCTAGCATGTTGCTGTTCTCAGTGTCCCTCTATTGGCAATATCTGAGGTTCTGTAACTGCAGCCGGTTGGAAAACCTCTTGCTGTGCCTGTGTTGGCAAAAGCCAAATCCCCAAATTTATAGGATTTAAATAATCTCCTATAAAAGATTTTCATTTTTTACGTGTATATAACTTAATATACTTACGTATTAATGTAATAATATATTATATATATTAAGTCAAAAACTCAACCAGCAAATGCGTTGCAGGTAGCTATAGACACAGTCAGAATTGCATGCCTATATAACAGTGGGAGCCTCCTTGAAATAATTGTTATTCTTAAATGTATCTGTCCTCAATACCTTGTTAAATTGTTTAATTCTAGGCTCAGAAACCATATGTTGTACAGAGAAGAGGAGCTGAATTTGCCTTATCTACTATAGCTAAACATTTTGGTGCTGAAATGGCGACAGGATTGCCACATCTTTGGGATGCTATGGTTGGTTCATTAAGGAACAACGTTCACATAAATGATTTTGGTAATTACACTTCTGGTTTAAGCTGGGAGGGCTGGTAGGCTAGGGGCAGTATGTCAGTCTTAAACTAAACACTTTTTCTCTTTTTAACAGACCGAAAGTCCTTACTGGAAAAAGGAGATGCTCCTGCCCAGGAGCTAGTAAATTCTTTGCAGGTTTTTGAAACAACAGCAGCTTCAATGGATACTCAGCTACATCCTCTGGTAATCATATTCCAAAGCAGCTTTTGTATGAAGCAATTCAGTCTGTTCATTGCCACTGTTTTAAATCTTTGTTTTTAAGGCTTCTTTTTAGATAGCTTTCTAATTTTGCTAAACGGTGGTTTTACTCACTTGCTAGCCTGCCTGTTCTCCAAGTCCTGTGTGCTAGTCTTGATAAACTGAAGAAAGCATTTTTCTGTCTTCAGCAGTTATATGTTTTAAAGCTGTTTTTTCCCTGTGTCCTGTAGGATGTTAAATTCTGTATTTGTTTATGCAGGTTGTACAATGAACCACAAAAGCAAACTCCTGCCTATAATTTAGTCTCAGCCTACCCTTTTCTGGATGCCCAAACAAGATTGTGTCCAAAGTTTGAGTTACAATAATATTTATGGTATTGTGTAACGTTGAAATGAGCACCTCAGCTCTGGTTTATTCTGATTACAGATTTCCCAAACCTGGAGAACAGGCTGATAATGTGATGCCTTCTCTTTGTTATTGAAGTACAGATAAAAATGCTGTTATACTGCATTATGTGACTGACTGAAATGGGTTGACTTCTAATAGACTGACATGTAGTTTGTGTGGCCTGAGTTGAGGGGGGAAGTGTAGTAATAAAGTCTGCACAGTTCACTGCCCTGCCTGACTACTGTCTAAGAGGCTGAAGGTTGTCAGAAAGGTTCCCTGTGCAGGGAATGCAAAAATTATGGAGACCAGTTTACCCCCAAGTAGACTGGATTTGATTGATTAATTTTTTTAATTATTTATTTTTCCCCACCACTCAGTGTAACAAGACTTAACAACTTACATGCAGTAGTAGGCTCTGAACTGACTGTTTCTACTCAGGAGAGAGATCCTGGAGTTAGGCTGTTTCTGTGAAAGTATCAGCTGAAAGTAAAACACTGGTTAAAAAAAGCCAGCAGAAAGTTAAGACAGAAACAGAACAAGAAAGTCATCATTAGGCCTGCATCTGAACACAAATTTCATACTAGCCTGTCTGCAGTACTATATTTCAGAATAAATATAGTTGCACTGGAAGAGGCATGGAGAAAGGCAACAAGATGATAAAAATATATGAAAAGGCTCCCGTGCAAGGAATAAGTAGGCCAGAACTCTGTCTGGAAAGGCTATGATGGGAAAGGATGGACATAAGGAACGGCTGTAGAATTCTGAGCAGATGGAGAAGATTGATATGGAACATATGGAATTGTTTCTTATCTATTTTAATAAATACTGAATGATTTTGAGTGAAATTAGCATATGACATGGAAAGATTTTTTTCATATATATGTTTTATATATATACACATATATATAGTGTGTGGTTAATGTGTAGATTGGTTTTGGGGGTGCTAACACTGTATACAGGTTTCAAAACAAACCAAACCAAAAATCCTATAAAGTCAAAGATGGTGGAATTGGTTAATCAAAGCTAATACTTAGGGACTTCCATGCTAGGAAAAACCTGACCATCTGTTTTAAGATATCTGACACACACATTTATTTGTGCTGATGAAAAAGACATGTATGTACACAGGTACCCTTGAGAAGATGTGAATTACCTTCTGGGTCTCTGTCTGGTCACACAGAGTTAGTGAGACTCCTCATATGGATAATTCATCTGCCTGAACATGAATGAGATGAGCCTAGGACAAATTTGCTAGCTGGAAGGAATTCTTTATATATTCATATTTAAGCAATAATTCTTCTTTTTTATAAAAATTTGAGTACTTTGTACTGTATTTTTCCAGTGTGAAATAGTTCTGTAATTATCAAGGGCTTCTTTAATTTTTATTTTGACTAAAACCCTAAATATTTTGTTACTCTGAATTTCAGCTGTATTGGGGAATAATACTTGTTCAAAGTTCAGTTGTCTTTTTCTTCGGAAACAATTTTTCACTTCTAAACAATTAGATCTTGTGAAGGAGCCATTTCAAGTATTCTTTGGGAGCCAATAGTGACTTAAAAAGACTGTTTACTTCAAACTAGTTCAGTAATTTGTTTATAATTCATATTAACCCTTTTCCCCACCCTTTTCTTCTATTCAGTTGATACAGCATTTGCCTCATCTTTACATGTGCCTTCAACATCCCAGCACTGCAGTGAGACACATGGCTGCTCGTTGTGTAGGTGTTATGAGCAAAATAGCTACCATGGAAACAATGAATATCTTTCTAGAGAAAGTTCTGCCATGGTTGGGAGCAATAGATGACAACACCAAACAAGAAGGCGCAATTGAAGCACTTGCATGTATCCTTGCTTGAGTATTCAAAAATGTAGAACTTCTTTGCAGTTGCATAATTTGGGGGAACAAAACCTGTTGCCTGAAAAAATGGGAGGAGGAATGAAATAAAATGTTATGCTATTTTCCTCCTGTAGACAAGAAATAGAGGAAACTTTAATTTCCATTGCCTTTATTTTATCTATCAAATGAAGTTTTGGTGGAGATAATTCAGTTTCTCAAACCATAGAATTCACTGGGCTAAATGTAACTGGGTAGATCAGACTGACTTCCCCCTGCCCACCCCATTGCTTTGTTAGTAGAAGTCTTGTTCATCTGAATGTACTGTATTAATGACTCTTACCTACTGAGTGTGAAATCTGCTGGGTGTGTGTTGATGTCAGACAATCCTGATCTGGTAAAAACTATTTCCTTAATAACTGATCCAGGTGTAATGGAGCAGCTGGATGTTGGTATTGTTCCATACATTGTTCTTCTAGTGGTTCCAGTTCTGGGTAGAATGAGTGATCAGACAAACAGTGTACGTTTTATGGCTACTCAGTGCTTTGCAACACTAATTAGACTAATGCCTCTGGAGGTAAGCTCAAGTTGTAAGTATACTGAATGTGAGCTATTCTGTATCCATCTTTTCACCAGACACAAAGTTCAAGCTTCTGACTTACTAAACACTGAATAAGTAACTTTTTATAGGTGTTGAGTCCATATCAGATAACTGAAGGAATGTTCTTTGTAATGTAAAATGTGTAAAATCAGACCCTTTGTTAGTAATTTTCTAAATGAATGTTAAAGTAATTTTCTCTTTATAAGAAAGTCACTTCAGCTGTGTACATGAAGTGAAAGTGTACATTCATTAATTTTGTGTGCAATGCTGCTTTTGCTAGTTGTGGCTCAGAAGTCTTAGGAGTTAAACGTATGCTCTCCCTAGGTATGTGGTGTTGTGTATGTGATCAAGAGGAAGGCATAAAAAAAGCAGTACTGATTTAAAAGGAAAAAATTAAGTAGCAGTAATAGAACTAGTGTGGAGATGAGTACAGTTACTTATTCCTAGTTCTTAATATTGAAAAGCCCCACCCTACAGTTTTGGGCAAAATATTACATGTATTATGATCCAGTAGTGTTTAATCAGCACAGATTTGCTTCAGTTTTTCACTCCTACTACAACTCGCATAGCTCAGACACTTTCTAATATTGCACTTCAAGGACTACGTGGCTTCGAAGTAACTTCTTTTCACCACCAGATGGTAATAGAAGACAGTTCAGAATTTGTTTGCATGTTTCTAATGGAAAAAACAAATTGTCAATTTAATGGGTTTATGGATTTAGTATCTTTTATTATCTCAGTGTTTAATTTAGCATAATAGAACATTAGAATCTGATAACTAGCAGTCTGCCTTAAATGGAACACTTACTTCCTGTATGCTTACACTGAAATGTTGAAAGAGTTGAAAGTGAGCAAAGAAGTTAATTTCTGTCATTGAATTAAATTCTGGAGGTGGTAGATGGGGTGGATTTGATAGGGACTAGGGAAATAAATGTTTTATGGGGCAATATTTTATTAAGGAGTACTTTTTTGAGATTGAAATAACTTTACTATCAAGTTTTCACAGACAAAGTTTCACACATGCTTTGTCTGAAAAAACTTAGAGTGGTGTTTTATGGATAAGGTTTCACATTTTTAAATGGGAAGACTTTTTAGGATAGTCTTGCAGGTATTTCATAAGACAAACTCTTACAGCTTTCAGTAGTTATAGTTTAAAAAAAAGCCAAACTTTCCACTCTTTCAATTTCATGTCTCTGAAGCATGACTTACAGTTCTGTAACAAAATTAAGAGTTTATCTAGTCTTTTGTGTTTATTGCTACCATTTTATATACTGCCTAAAAAAACAAGACCTGAATTCAGCTGCTGGATAAGCGGTGGAGGTCTGAATAAGCTTGGAGTTTCTAATTGGTATTTTTTGTGTTGGTTTCTAATTGTGAGGAATTGAAAACAATAGCAGTAAATGAGTTGGGAGAACTTAGCTATGCTCGTTTTCCTCTATTTTTATTCTCAATTTCATTATTCATTCAATAAAAATGAAAATAAGACTGAGAGAAGGATTGTAAGATACGTGGTTCAACTTAATCTGTCCTGTTTTATTGGTAAGCGGTCATGCTGCAAGTTGGCCATATACTAGAACCAAGTTAACTGGCATGGTATTCACACTTCAGATGTGCTCTTTTAGAAGGGAAGGTAATTGAACAAGTAGACTGTTGTCTGTGTGTATGTGCTTAAATACCTTATTGGAGCACTTCTAACATGAACTCTGGGTTGGTTTTCCCCCTTCCTTATTAACCACATACATGATGGAATTATTTGAATAAGGGTTTTTCTTCTCAGCCAGGAGCCTTCTCTAAGTGGTTAGTAACAGGGATTTTGAAGTAAAGCTAACTAAAGATGGAGGTCATCCAGAAAACTGGGATGACAGAAGTGATGAGGGAAGATACCAGTGCATTTTGCTACTATATATTATTAGCAAGCGAGAATGTCTTGAGCATGTTTGGTCCCAAGATAGCTTCTTAGGGCTTCTGTACCTAGGAAGTACCTAGGAAGCCAAGGTCTGCTGCTACAAACTTGGAGGAGTTTTTCTTCTTCCTGATAGTTTCCAATTGCTTGAATTCATCCTGTGGATTTCAGTATCACTTTAGATCTAATTCTACTAACATCTGTAGGAAGAAAAACTTTGGATGATGGATTGTAGCTAAGGAGAGATGGGTGTCAAAGGATATGCTAGCCAGTGAGAGAAACTCTCTGATTAGTGGCAGAATAGCTCAGTCTTTGTAAAATCTTACAAGCATGACCAGGATTTCCCCTCTTCTGTGTGATTGTGTTGAGCTTTTCAGTGTGTCCTTTGGGGCAGAACCCTGGATAACTTGATCTGCATGGAAATCAAATGAGTGTAGCACTGAGTTTGGATTTATACAATTGAGAAGACTGCAGATCTGTTTGTTTAAAATGTCTAAGCTAGTGTGAGGTTTTATTATTGTCTGTGTACTGTAGCCCTTACATTGCTGCTTTAAAAACATTGTCCTAGGCTGGTATACCAGATCCACCAAACATGTCTGAAGAATTAATCCGAATGAAAGCTAAAGAACGTCACTTTCTGGAACAATTACTGGATGGAAAAAAACTGGAAAACTATAAAATTCCAGTACCAATCAAAGCAGAGCTCAGAAAATATCAGCAGGTAACAGCTTTTTTATTTTAAGAGCAGTAAGTTCCAGTTTGATACAATTTTATGGAAGGGTAGAAGTTGTTTGGGTGTTGGATTCTTTTGCTTGTGGGTTTTTTGTTTCACTTTTAGCTGTGCAGTATGTGTCTTGCTCTCTTGGGTAAGGAAGGACAAATTAAGTAATGCATGCCATTTATACTGGTTTTCTTTCAGTGATATTTTTCCCCCTCTCTGGATTCTGTCATTTTTCTCAAGGAATGGCCAATGGACTGTGCCTCGCGTAGACTGACGGTGGCAGCTCACCACTGTAAAGCCAGGCCTTGTTGTACTGTTTGGCTGCTTATGTTTCTCCCTTTATTCCCCTCTGCTTTGAGTGAGTGGGCTGTAGTGGGTGCATTTATGGTGGGGACCCAAACTCATAGTTTGGTAGTGATGGATGAAAATACAGACGTTTGAACTAGCCAAAAGCCAGTTTTTACTTACAAGGCACTCTCTCTATTTTCTGGTTTCAGGATGGAGTGAACTGGCTGGCGTTTCTCAATAAATACAAACTTCATGGAATTCTTTGTGATGACATGGGCCTAGGAAAAACTTTACAATCCATTTGCATTCTTGCAGGTGATCATTGCCTCAGGTAAGCTTAAACAAATAACAAAGACTTTAATGATAGGTTTTGTCTATGGTAGTGACTCTGGACATAGTCCTGGGCAACCAGTTGTAGGTAGCACTGCTTGACCAGGGGGATTGGACCAGTTGACCTCCAGATGTCCCTTCCAACCTCAACTATTCTGTGAAAAACTATTTTTTTTTTCAAACTTGTGTTGATATTCTTCAAGGGCTCAGGAATATGCAAGAACGAAACTGGTGGACAGTGTTCCTCTTCCCTCCTTGGTGGTGTGCCCTCCTACACTCACAGGACACTGGGTGGATGAAGTGGGCAAATTCTGCTCAAAAGAATATCTTAATCCTTTGCACTATACAGGACCTCCTACTGAGAGAGCAAGGTAATGTATTTTGTATTTGTGACTTGGGTAGAGTAAAATACCATACACAGAATTTTGCAATTCACTTTACTGTTACTATTGAAGCATAGTTTGTGGGCATGGTAAAGCTTGTGATGGTACCTTTAAAGGCTGAAATAATAACATATGTAAGGAATGCTTTAGTTATAATCTCTTTTTTTTCTTAAGATTACAACACCAGGTGAAAAGACACAATCTCATAGTGGCTTCATATGATGTTGTAAGAAATGACATTGACTTCTTCAGGTAAGAATTGGTTTGGTTTTTGAGGTTTTCAGTAGCTTAGAATTCTAAATGCTACATAAGTCTGTGTTCTTCTTTTCTAGAAATATTAAATTTAATTACTGCATTCTTGATGAAGGCCATGTAATAAAAAATGGAAAAACAAAGCTGTCAAAAGCAGTAAAACAGCTGACTGCCAATTACAGGATAATTCTTTCTGGGACACCAATCCAGGTAACTGGTTTTCTTTTTTCCAAAGGACTTGGGTAGGTAATAGAAAGCAAGAAAAAGAAGACTGCAGTCTGGTTTATTGTGCTTTTTGTCAGTCGTCTTGTTCAAAGTGTACATTGTAAAAAAAGCCTTTCATTGCTAAATGCTTGAAACGACATCTTTTTCTTTTTGTAGTATACCCATGTATAGGGGAATGAGTGTAGGATCGACAGTACTACTAATGGGGCTCAAAAGCTAGCAACGAGACTTTCTTTACCACTTGTTCTTTAAGTAGCAGGCAGGGAAGGGAAGAGAGCATTTGCTTACACCTCTAATGAAATTAGCAAGAAATTCAGGTCTGAGAACTCCAGATTTTGGGCTTTGTCCTAATGACTTGTCTGTGGAGTATCTGTCTCATCCAGGACTAAGACCGCTGGCGTCTCCTGGGTTTTGTTTTCCAGACAAATATCTTAAAGTGTGTGTACAGGTCTTCCTGTGACTTAGGTCGATGAAAGAGCCAGCAAGTTCCAGGAGCTCCAAAGTATGTTGAAGTGTTACACTTGTAGTGTTCTATAGGCAGTGTTAAATATGTATGGAAATGCTTCTGATGACTTGTAACAATTAAATAATTTAACAAATGTTTCTTTTATGTTCAGAACAACGTCTTAGAGTTGTGGTCGTTGTTTGACTTCCTTATGCCAGGATTTTTGGGTACTGAACGCCAATTTGCAGCTCGTTACGGCAAACCAATACTGGCAAGTAGAGATGCCCGAAGCTCCAGTCGAGAACAAGAGGCTGGTAAGGATGAAACCTTATATTTTGATTTTTCTTCCTTTAAATGAGAACCGCTAGTGAGAAGAGAAGGTGCAGTCAGTTCCAACATAAGAGAATTGCGGGGTGCGGTACTGAATGTTTTGAAATTTTTTGGGTTTTAATTAGTTTGTTGCCTTCACTAGGGGTTCTTG